ACAGATTGAAGTAATTTGTAGCTATCAATTAATTTCTAAGAAAGATTGATAAATGCCAATGATTAATAAAAGGTAGAGCCAGTATCTTTTAAAGGAAAGACTACAATTTCATCATGTTCTACAGTTGCTGTTCTCGACGACTCTTCTTTCCCCGTCATTCGGAATAATTACTTTTCCTTTATCAACAGAAAAAAATAGTTATTCCGGATGACTCCATGTCCGGATAACGAGGTAGGAAGAGTTAGAGGAACATACTGATTTATTTCACCACTGTTATTTTAATCTAGTGAAATTATTGTGCGGTTTCAGGATAGTCGTTTATTTTAGGTTCGGGTTTATACCGAATGGCGGACGTGTTTATTATTTAAGACGTTCACAACCGCCATTTCTCATCGCAATGGATGTGAATATTACAAAGTCACAGAAGATATCAAGTTTATTCAAAAAAATTTCGACCATCTCGTGAAAGAATATGAGTTTTGGTTGCAGATAAGTTAAATGACCAGTTAAAATCTATTTGGACTTGCATGTAATTGGGAGATGCTTATTGATAGATAAAGTAATCTTTTCGAGTTTTTCCGGTAAATTTTGAACCGAAAATTCCTCTCAGTTTTCATGGGAATGATTAATGTGTCAGTGATGAAACTTATATATACTTTTTGATATGATCTCTAATCTTCGTGCCTTAATAGTAGAAGTAGAAAACATACTTAATACTCACCCATTAACTTAGCAAATTTCGACGACTCCATAATTTTAAGATCTACAAACTTTATCGTACCAAACGTATGTTTAATGATACCTACTAGTAATGCTGATGGTCGGGATCATTGTGTCCTTTACAAGTTAAGTGTTCATAAGAAACTTATTAAGTACTGGGCAAGTATAACAAAAACTCTAGATACATTGTGGGTAATATGGAAGGAGAGCACTTAACTAGCTTGAGAGAACGTATACAAGTAGAACATAAATCTCTGAGGAGCGTAGAGATTAGAGCTCCTACTGAAGGAAAAATTGTGTTGGTAAATGAATCAAATGCTTCTCACGGTATATGGAAACTAGCAAAAATAAGGAAACTCAATAAAGGGCAGAATAATAAGAAGTTGCTCTAATAGAGTTACCACGAGGAAGAATAATGAATCGACCTATAGATATATTACATCCACTGGAACTAAACAGAAAGAAGAAACAAAGGATCAAACAGTAACGTCGGAGAAGTCTATAAATCAATCAAAGCAAAGCATTAAACATGATGAACCCATTGTATGAAGAACTAGAAGGTTACAAGAAAGCAAAGAACTCAAATAGAAATACGAAGGAGGTCGAATTCTACAATGAATGCCTGAAGTTCCTAATTCCTTCAGTCGGGAGTGTCGCGAATTTCGAATATCGTGAAGCTCCAAATGAAATAAAATGATTAAATAAACCAATGTACAAATCAATCACACAAATTGTAACAATCTCATGAATCATCTAACCAATTTTACATTCCTCAGATTCATTGTCTCATGGGTTTTTCCTTGTTATCTTTATCTGAGCTCACATCCTTTGCTTTTTTATGACTACAAAGCACATTCATAGGCCAAATTTCCTTTGTCTGAGAACCATTTTTAATTGCAATGCCTAATGTTGCAAACAGAGCCTTCTGTTGTAATCGGATTTCTTTTTCTTTATCCAAAGGTAAATCCGATGTAACGTTTTTTATAAACCACTCCCACCAAATATGTTCATTGTGTTAATTAAAATTGAATATATACTCAAGACTATAATTAGAAAATCATCGTTCCCTTTTCAAAAACTCAACCAAAGATTGTACCGTACATTGTATCCTCGAATCTCTCTAATAAATATTTTTATTACTAACTCCACGTTATTACAACCTACTATTCCTCTGCAAATTAATTACTTCTTCCTGAACCGAACGAAGAATACCTTCTCAGATTTTTCATCTATGCATAAGAACCAACCCTTCTAAATCAAACCCGAGAAACCAAAAAATAAGTTAACACGAATTTAAATTTTCGAAAAAGACTTATTGACCTCATTCAAATCTCTTTCTTCTCTCCTCTTTCAGCTCAAATATTTCTCCATCTATTTGACTTCATTCAAATCTTCTTCGCCCTCAGCTCAAATATCTCATTTAATTTGACCTCATCTAAATCTCTTCCTGCCACATCTCAAATGTCTTATCATACTGCCGTTTGTGAATTTATTCCTCTCTTTCTTTGCGTTCTAATTCATCAGATGCATTTAGCAATACTTTGAAATGGTTTGATTCTATCGAATAACAGGAACGACGAAAATTGAAAAATATTAAATTCATAGATGACAAACAAAATGCTACCTTTTAGATTCATCGATGAAATAAGGGTCGAACTTTTGGCAGTTTGAATGGGTGATATATTATTTATTGATTAAACTAAATAGAATGATTTAATGATCAATATCGGAAATAATTTTCCGGAACGACTAACTCAATTACCTTCTTCAATAAAAAAAAAAGAACCCATATACCACTGTGTGTATGTAAGC